GATCATTCACGAAATAGTAGGAAAGTGACAGAATTTGAACAAAAAAAAAAAATATGCTTGCCAGGATTCGTCTACGAAAGACAGTTTAAATATAATTAGATATAATCACATATTGTACATAATTCTACATAACTTTTCATTTTATTAACGTACAGGCAGTTTGACGCACTGTCGAATGAATGAGGAAGATGATATAATATAAAAGATAACATAATATTTAAATAGATAAATCAATAAGTATCTATCTTTGTTTTACAAGGTACAAATATTGCGAATCACTAGAAAATCGTGTTGCTCAAGATGTACGATATAGAAATTTTTGTCTGCAGACCATAAAATTCGACGGTACTTTTTATCTGTAAATATATATATACTGCATCAAGTTTTTGAATATATTCTACGTTCGTAAAATTCTACAAAGACGTATAGAAATTTTTGTCTGATCAAGTTCTCTCGTGTCTACACTGTTCATAAAAATTCTACAAAAGTACATGTAGAGTATATAGATTTTTTTTTTATCGGCAGACATGCAATCGCGCCACAAGCTTTCTGAATATTTAACGAAACAGTTGGTGAAATTCTACAGCATACGGATAGTGTGCTGTTCAATACACGATGTAACAGTCCATGTACGATCTATAGAGTCATAAAGCATGAAATATGAATATCTGCAGACGTCTACGGCTCTCGCAGTTAGCGTGGATATAGCGATTCTTCCACGTCCATTATCCTTCCGCGAATTTTCCGCTTGAGTATCCGATGAATCATCCCCCACCGTCCGCGTCTTTTGTCATCGATATGCTCTGAAAGGAGCAAGGATATCCATATTTTCTTTGGCACATCTCGTTCCAAAGAATGGACTACTGGCGATACAAATACACAGAGGTCGTGGTCGAAGAGGGTACGAATCAATCGAACGGAACGAAACGAGAAGAAAAGCTTGTTAAATTCACAGAGGTTCTAGCTCTCGAGGAACACTCGCAGTGCAAATTGACCGAGGAAAGCTACGGACGCGATATTAACAACGTTCCTTAATGGGTCAAAGAAATCGGAGAGAAAATATAAGAAGAAGAAGAAGAAGAAAATGAAGAATACAGGATTTTCAGCGGGGAAAAATTGCAATTTTTCAACAACCATCCAAGAGAAAGATATTACACGTGCACGTAACG